CCCTGTATTTTCTGCGAATTGGTCATTGAAGTCAGAGACCAGGTGAGATTTGATTTTTTTTGTTTTTGCAAGAATACTTAATAGATTTGTGTACTTCATGGAAGAGAGCATGTATTGTCTGGTTGTATTTCTTTGTTGAGGTTAGTAGTCATTGACATCTTCGTTCCATTATGTCACAGGCATTGGAAAATGACAGTATTTTCTTACAAAGTGCTTGATTTCTTCCTTGTAGTTACCGGTTTTCAAAACAATGAATTGATTCCTTCGTATCCCCTAATGACTGAGAGGTTTTTCTCCCTTAGTGTCTTTATGCTTTATGCATTCATGGATTTAAACGTATTTAATGCATTTCAGTCCTTTGTAAGTGTTGTTCGTATTCAAACTGTTTCCCATCTTTGGCCAGAGGGAGCCTCTTCTAGTTGATTTCAGAGTCTTTTTTGACACAACCTTAAATGGGTCTTGACTAGATGTCCAGGCTCATCTTGTACATTTCCCTCCACAGACCTGGAATAAGCTATTTCCTCTAATGGTCTCTGGTTGCCTTTGTGGAAAAGGGTATTTAGAGACCATAATCTCAGCACTGGGGGCACTTGTTACTGTGTAGGTCATGGGCTTCAGGTCTTTACAGTGGACAAAGCTAGGGGAAGTTTTTTAAATGTAAGTGCATTGTGAGTTTATATTAATACTTCTAATTCAAGTTTACAACTGCGTAAACATACACATACACACCGTATTGTACTTCTCTAATTTCTTCCACACTGAAATTTTTAATGTGTGTGTGTGTCTTCTGAGAAGAAGCTTATGGAACCAGAAGTCAGCTGCCCGTGTCAGCCTGTCTGGCCCACTGGGACGTAGGACCTGGCCCACTGGGCGTGCTCACCCTTTCTCCCCTGGACCGGTAGCCCTCCTCTTCACCTGTACCAACTGTTTCAGAATACACAAACAAGGCTGAATCCTCCTGGAGCAGGAAGCTCAGGCTTGGAGGGGCTTTTCTAGCACAAGTTTTCAGTCCTGGGACCAGCTAAACCAGCTCCTAGACAACTGGGGCCTTGTATCGGTAGTTCCTCAGGTTTTAAACTCTGTTCCTCATAGAAACACCAACGTGCTAGGAAGGACAGAAGGGGAGCAGAGAAGCAGGAAGAGAGGGGGCTCTGGAAGGGAGGACGAAGCTGTAAGAAGCCCCAAAGGCACCACAGCTGACATGCACAGCTGGTCTCAGACAGTGCAGTCGGCCGGGCCTGTCAAGACCATTTAGTTTGGGTGGAAAGGAACAAGTATGTATACAGCAAAGGCACATAGATGTGTCAGGCAGTGTGCAAATGGAAGAGGCAGACCATGAACCAAAGATATTAACAGAGTCTAGAGAAGGAAAAAAATATGATTTGTGTGTGTGTGTGTGTGTGTGGCGAGAGGAAGAGTCAGGCTCTCCCACAGCTCTCTCTGCCCCCGTTGTGCTGGCCCCCGCCCTTCTCCCGGAGCAGGATGGAGCCCTGGGTCCTGGTTTGCAATATGAGCCCAGTAACTGGAGAACGGGAGGCTAGGGTGGGGTTAGATGGGCAGCTCCCCATCGTTTGTATACTTACGGGCCTTCCTTTCTGGCCTGGGGTGCTCCTCCCCAAAGAGCCAGTTACAGTGAGATGGGGGCACAGGAAGAGAAGCTGTGGGAATGTCTGATGGGCAGCTGGGATCTCAGGTTACTTCTTGAGCTGCTAGGGAAAAACCCTTGTTTTCGAGGGTCAGATTCGATGATGGTAGCTTGGCAGTTTTGCCTGGAGGGCTGCTCAAAGCGAGGACTTCCTGACACCCAACACTGTCACTAGATCTCTGTGTGCACACTGGCGGGCAGCCTGGTTTGCCCTGACCATGAGGTCACTTGACCCCAGTCTGCCCCTTACTAGCATTTAACCTTCGACAAGTCATTCTGTGCGTACAGTGAGCGGGTTAATA